CACTGAGTACAAGAGATAAGCACAGCTGAGCCCCCACAAAGGCAGCTGAGTTGCATTTGAGAGAGATTCACTTCCTCATAGGGTGCTCCCCTGACTAGCAGCTGTATATGACTGTGCTGGGCTCAGTGCAGAGATCTAACACCTCATGTGTTATCTCCCAGGGAAAGAGCATCAGCAGGAGGGGAGTGACTTCTACTGGGGCCTCCTGAGCTGCAGAAATTGGGTTTGGCTGATTGTGTGAACCGTGCTCCCTGCCTCTGTAACACCCCACCATGCAGCCTGAGTACGGAATGGACCTTTTCGGGAAGAAAAGACTCCAGGAATCTTTAGGTATGTGGAATGGGGATGGTATTTCTGCTTCACCACAGGGACAATTGTGAAACCCCCACGTACAATTCTAAGTATTGACCTTTAAAGGTGATACTCACCTTTTGCCCTTAACTTTAGTCTCTCTCACTTCCAAGGTGTTCTCCTCCTCTTCCTCACCCTTTACCTGCTCCAAAACAGATTGATCAGTGTGCTGCTGTTTAAAAGACTTAACGTGTCCAGGGCAAACACTGTACAGTTTCTCTATGGAGTTTTTAGGGGTGATGCCCTACAGAAAGTACAAGCTGAATATATAACTGATTTAGTAAGAAAATTTAACAAAAAGCCCTTTCACAACAGTTTCATGAATACAAATTGCAATTTGGTCAGTGAGCAAGATCAGATACTAGAGGTTTCTGGTAATTATCATGTTCCACTCGTCCTGGTTCAGTGGTTACCAGAAACAGAGGTTTCTGGTAATTCTAGTTCCCATCAGCCTGGTTCCTAAGCCTGCACCGTCCCCATAACTTGGGCAAATGAGAATACTGGTCAAATGCTTTTGCGATTGCTCTCGTGTCTGGGGAACGAACAGGGACCAGTGGAGTTATACTACAATCCTTTGTATAGAGATACACTATATATACTGCAGACCACTGTATATACCTCTGTATGGTATACAGAGATACATACACTGGCAGTACTTGTGGGATTAGGAGAGCCCTGCTGCTCGTGGGTAAGCGATGCCGGCCCTGCTCGGGCCATGCTGGTGCGACCACCGCCCTGATCGCCCTCCCCATCGCCCCCCAGGCCGTGCCCCCTCCCCGCCACAGACCCCCTCGCCTTCCCCCCGCGGTGTGCGGGATCCGGGAGCGGCGCTGTGGGATCCGGGAGCGGCGCTGCGGGGCCCGGCAGTGCCGACGTGTCCCTGCGGGCGCGGGGCCGGGCAGCGCCCGCGGCCCCAGCGCGGCCCCCCGAGAGCGGCGCTGGGCCCCGCTCGCCGCGCTCACCTGCACGCCCAGGTGGGCCAGGCGGGGCTCCAGCCCGGGCTCCAGCGCCAGCAGGAAGGAGGAGGCGGCCGCGCCGCCCGCCGCGTTGGCGAGGCTGAGCTCGGCCGAGACCTTGGCCAGGTGCGTGCTGAGGTCCAGCGAGCGCCGCGCCTCCTCCAGCAGCAGCTCGGCGCCGGCCCCGGTGGCCGCCAGGCAGAGGAGCAGGACGCGGCACAGCAGCCCCGCCATGGCCGGCACACCGCGGGGAGGGCACAAGATGGCGGCGCCCGCGCTGTACGGGCAGGGCACAAGATGGCGGCGCCCAGTGGGAGGAGGAGGCTCGCGATGGCGGCGCCCACGGCGCTTGAGGCCCGCCCCCCCCCCTCCCTGCTTTCTGTGGTGCCTGAGGAGAAGGGCTGGGCGGGCGTCCTCCAGACTCCTGGGAATGGTTCCAGCCTTCCGCAGTCCCGGAGTTTCCCGGCTCTGGCAGTGAGCTCAGGGTTTCCCGTGGTGCGCGGGGCCCGTACCCCTAAGGAGCCCGCAGGAAGCGCTGGGCGCGCATGGCTCAGAGGGGCTGTCAGGGTCGGTGGCACTGGGATGTAGGACCAGGCACTGGCACAGGGAATTGATGCTTATATTACCCTGAGCCTCAAACTGGGGCGGTTTGTCTCGCTGGCTTGGCACAAGGGTCGCTACTGCTCTGGAGGGTGAGGTTTAACACAAGTAGATTTTAAGCTGAGCCCAGATCTTCTCCTAAAAAGCGCTGATACTTGACAGCTAGGTGATGCCAGAGTAGAAGTGCTGCAGGCAACCAAGGCATAGTAACCAGCCCTGAACTGACTTAAAGAATAGCTGGAGAAAGGAAAATGTTAGTGGTTTAACACATGACTGGGGAAGAGGTGATTGACACTTTATTCCCAAACATCTAAAGCAGATAAAAGCAAGGAACGGATGTTGTCTGCTGTGACTGCCGGAGCTGGGCTTTTGCCTGTGAGCCCTGTGGGACAACAGACCTTTCATGTTTGCATAATGTGATCCAGGACTCGACCTTTCTTTGAGATCCTAATATGAATAACAGAGAAAATTCTCTGATTTGGCCTGAGATTGTCAAGTATCGGAAGGGAATTTCCTAAATTATGTGCTTGGATCTGGAGTCAAATAGCCCCTTGGCAAAGGCTAAATAAAATGGGATGTCTCCTGGTGCCCCCCCGCCATTCCTATCATGGAAATTTTCTTGGCAAATGGCTTCCATTTCCTTTTGATTTATTTAGGTAACAGCCCTGTGAATTTGGCAGCTGGCCTAGTACAAGCAGGTAGTTTTGTCACTGTGTTTTGGGTGACAGCAGTGCTATCTTCCAGCAGCACAGCATGACATGGCTGCAGGGGTGGGTGTCCACCTCCTCAGCTAGGGAAGTGTTCCAGGTCCCTCTGCTATCCAGGAAAAGCCTGTTTATCTTGGCCCTCTTCTCCAAAGAGCCAGGCTTTAGGGCCCCAGAACTGAATAGGCATGTTCAGGGGGCAACAACTGTGAAACGTGAGGGGCTGAGTGAAACAGCCACCTCTAATTTAAGGCTGGCCAGTGGTGCAGCATCTGGGCACTCCATCCAGTTGTCCAGGCTGATTTTCTGTGGAAAGTTCCTCTGCTAGGAATGGCTGTTACTGTTCTTCCTTCCATGTATCACAGGGAATAAATGAACTCCAGTCGGCCTCTTTCATAACATGTGCAGCTCAAGCTTTTATTTCCTTCTCTCCCTCAGGGCAATTTCTCCTGGCAAAAGGAGGGAAAGAAATAAATGCACATGTCCCTTGTGTCTGGAGATAATTGGGCTTCATTTGTCACATCCTGGACCAAAGGTTGCTCTCCTATGGGTTCATCCCAGAGGCTGGATTTGAGCTTGCTGGCGAATGCAAGTTTCAGCATCTGACCCATCCCAGACCCCAGTGAGCTCTGAACCAGGCTGTTGTACACTAACCCTGTGTTTGGATCCATTTCTAATTGTGATAATTGAGGCATGCTGAGCCTGCACAGCATCTGTTTCAAGACTTCAGCCCTACCACGTAGGCTAAAATTATCTTCAGGTTGAAAAGCTGCTGCCTTTGGGCTTGTTCAAGGCTGAGCTTGGCTCTGCAGGTCCCTCTCACCATTGTCCTGTGAGCGGCTGCCAGGCTGTTCATGCATGGGTTCAATCACAGCTGCTGGTGGTCCCTGGCTGGGTGTGTTGGTGGCTGGGACAGCTTGGGGACACCTTGCAGGGTGTGTTTGAGCAGGGATGGGCTGCTTCTGCAGGTAAGGAGCACTGTGGGATTCTCTGCTTCCTAACTGTCCCAGGCTGCAGTGCCTGTGTGCAGATCTGGCCACCCAGGCCTGGTGCCAAGCAAGAGCTGGGAATCCAGAGCTGCTTATTTTTCTCTCTTTATGTGTTGGGTTTTTTTTAATTCCCTCACTGTGAGGAATGCCCCCCCCACCCCTCCTCACAGTACTGCCCCAGAGAGCTGCAGGTCGGGAAGCAGCTTGAGAGAGGTTACTAGACCCTGCTGCCATCCAGGCATGAGTGTAATTCCCCAGCTCCTGGTGTGCTGTGAAGAGAGTGTGTCACCCTCAGGTCCACTGAGCAGTAGTGGGAGGGGAACAGCCATGGTGAAGCCAGTGCCAGCCCAGCCGTCTGCCAGGGCTGAGGCACGAGAGTGGTCTAATAAATGCCTCTGGCAGGATCAGCCACGGACAGAACTGCACCCCAGGAAAAACCCTGTGTTCCTCTGTTTTTACAGGGCTGATGCCAAACTCAGAGCTGTGTCATCTGTCAGAGCAATTTGTTCTCAGGGAGGGAAGGAGAAGTTTTTTTCCAGCAGGAGCGTGTTGGCTGCAACCACAGGAGCACACTGAAGCCTGTAGCAGCAGGGAACAGGATCCTCTCACCAGCAAGGAGCTTGCACCAGGAATATGCAGGGACCATGAGATAATTGTGTTGCCCTCTGAGAACGCCAGGTCAGGGGCAGGAGATATTAAAACAGGCCTGTGCATGTGTACCAGAAGTCATCCTGGCAACACCTTGCAGATTTTGATACAAATCTCTCAGTGATCCTGAAAAACACACAGGCACGTGGTTCTCAGTCGTAATGACTGAGAAAAAAACTCCCTGTTTCAGATTCTATTGGTGTTTTACTGTTTAACCTTGCCCATGTGAAATCAAACAGCCTTCTGGCTGCCAGTGGGAAGCAGAAGGAACTTTTTTGTATTCAGTCCCAAGCGAGGTGTTGGAGTTGCCAGCCGTGAGAGCACAGAGAGAGCACGGCAGAGTTTGCTTAGCCTTGCTAAGGCACTCAAAAAGCAGCTGGAGAAAGGGAGAAAAAACAGTCTTCCAGTTTCATTATTTTTACAACCTCATTTTTTAGCTAGTCAGCATAACTCACACTGAGCCTCTGCCAAGCAAAACACACCATTATTCTTGTTTGGGGTTTGCCTGTGATTTCTGTGGGAGTGGTGGGCCTGGAGGGGGCTAGTTGGAGCTTGGCTCCTGTGCTTTGTTTGGCTGCTCTGGAAACATGCCCTACATTCACAGAGACAGTGGTGATGGGGCACACTCTGCTCAGGGGCTTTTTTTTCCAAGTTACTTTAGGTATCTACAGTAACACCCCTCCCCCTTACAGTGCTCACTTTAAAATAATTTCTTACTACTTTTAAAAAAAATCCATTTTCCTCTCCTTGTTAGACTACAAGACTCAGAAAAACTAGTGAAGAAAACTCTCTCTGTGCACAGAAACTGTACAAAGCATTGCGAAGCACACAGAGAAAACCTGCTGGAAGAACATGGCACTGGATCTGTGAGTTTTGTAAGGAGGTGAGACCACTGTGTGACGAGTGTTTTTGCAATAAGGAAAAAAAATTCAAGCAAAAAGGAGACTTCATCACTTTAAAAATTACTTTTGACTTTGTTTTTAAAGCTTCCTAGAAATGTAACTGAAATAGCCATAGGCAGGCACTGACTGGCTGCAAATGGAAAAAATCTGCTACACATGTGCAGCTGAAATACAGAGCCTGAGCAAGGTACGTGGTCCACTCGAGGGGACTTGCTTTGGGCTTAGGTGGGTCTGGATTTTGTCACAGGGTCAGGGCTCGTTTTGGATAGAGGGAAGAATACTGGTTTAACTATATTAAAAAATGAGGGTGTAATCAGGGCCACCACTCCAGTATTTCCTGCTGCAGACAGGGCCTGGGTGCAACACCCCCTTCAAACCAACCCTGGAGTGGCCTGTCCACATCGCCCTGCAGCTTGAAAATGCCTTCAGTAGACTGGCAAAGCCAGAGGAGGAGAGAGGAGGACAGGCTTCACGTCCTGGTTTGAAAACACAAATGCTGCCCTTCGCGGAGAACCAGGAGTGCAGAGAAGCTGCTGGGTGCCCTTCCAGGCTCCAGAGCAGGCGGCTGGGGATCCCAGCTGTGGGCAGAGCGGGGACATGCTGGCTCTTGGGGCAGCAGCTGAATTGCATCCTGGCACAGAACCACACCTCTCCATTTGCTCGTTTTCCCCAGGGTCGGTGGTGAAAGCAAGAGGACTCGCGTTTGGCAGGAAAACATCGGGACAAATGGGGACAACGAAGGAGCCCGCAGTGGAATTAAGGCAGGAGCACCTGGGTGGCTGGTGCTGAGCTGGACTGGCTGTGCCGGGGTCCTGGAGGGCAGCTGCAGGCAGCGGCGCCGCTTCTGAGCGGGCGATGGAGCCGGTCGCAGCCCTGAGGGCTGACAAAGAGCCTCACCCTTGTCCCTTGTCCCCCGGCCCTGTCCCCTCCCCGCCATGGCCCCGCGCCGCCGCCAGGGGGCGCCCGGGGAGCGCCCGGGGGCGGGGCCGTCGGGGGCGGGACATGGCCGAGCCCCGCCCCGATCGCTGCGGCCGCACCTTGGTGACAACAATTAATCAATTAACGCCGGATCAATTAACAGGATCCTGGCAGAAGCCCCCGGTGAGGCGGCACCCCCGGGCTGCTTGTGATGGGCAGCAGCCGCCCGGCCCTGCGTGGGTAACGGGCACCTCGCGCTGCAGGGATCTGCGGGTTTCACTGTGTCATCCCGCTGTCACCGCTGTCCCCAGCCTGCCAGCCTCTGGGGCGTGTAGGGCCTCTCCTGGGGTCACTCCAGGAAGTGGTTTGTCCCCGGGGTGAAGAACGGGAGGTGAGGGAGAGGGTGTGCAATGCTGCAGTGCCCGGGTGCCAGGGGACCGCAGTGGGACTTAGTGCCCATCTCTCTTTAAGTGCTATTGCATTTTTCCTTCTGACCCTTTTAAGGTCCTGCAGATGTGGTGCCAGGACCCACCTGAGCACAGCACAGTGCCTGGGCCGTGATCCTGTCCTCAGTGGTAATGAAGCCTGGTGAGGAACTGTCACTGGCCACAGGTACAATAATTGAGTTTCCATCTTTTAATGAAGCAACTTGTCTTTCTCAGCTTCTTTTTGGAAAGGAAAGCACTTGCTGGTGTATCTACTTAGAAGTCTGTTGTTCTTGTAGAGTTTTAAAGCCTCAGTTTTGCAGGATCTGCCACAGCCAGCGGGAAGTTGAGGGTCCCACTGACAGCAGCAAGAGGGGGTCATTTGCAGATTGACAGCTCTTCTGCTCCCTCCAGGAGCCCTGTGTTCAAGCAGTGCTTGCTGTGAGATAATGCAGATTTCTCACCAGGTTACTAAATTTTGTAATCTGTTGGCAGAGGCTTCCCTGGGTGATGCTCTGTGAAGTGCCAGCTGGGATATATAATTCTCTTGCAAAGGCAGCCCTTGAGCCCTTGCCAGGCTGAATCAAAACCTCTGACCTAAGCCTGGCTTTTCATGGACCTCAGCATGCATGTGTGTGGTGGTCAGCAGTGGCCCCTTCCCCAGAGACAATCTCATCATGCCCTGCCAGATGGCTGTTGGTGATTCCTTCCCATCACAGGTCCTTTCATGTGTGACCCAAAGAGAGGGAGTATTAACTCTCTGTGAACAGTGGTGGTCTGCAGCAGTGAATGCAATCTCTTTCCTGATAAGAAAAACACCAATGATCAAGGAAAAAAGAAACATGAGGATCTTTTGATCATTTATTGTTATTCCTTTCTCTGAAGGCTTCAGGCTCCTCACCAATAGCTCTCCTGCCTTCCTGCTAAGAAATGCTTGATAAGATGTTTGCATTGGTTATTGCTGAGTCAGCAGAACGGATCCACTCCAACAGAAAGGATGGCAGACAGTGCCTCACTTAACCCCACACAGGTCACCCAGAAAGCAGCTCAAAAAGACAGCCTTAGCCTCCAGCAGGCCAGCCCCAGCTCTGATGTTGGGATGGCCCTGGTGTTTGAAGCAATTTGGCAAGAGTGCAGGTCAGGCAGAGCAGATGTTCCTTAGGCTGGCATTGTGCTGGGGTAGATGGGATAATGCATCTTTTGTAGCCTGATTACTCGCAGATTGGCTGAGAACTTCACTGAAGGAGGGAAGCCCAAAGATGATCCTGCTCATCCAAACAAAGTAAGAGATGCTGATCTCTATTTACCAGAAATTTGGGCACCTATATGGAGCCAGCCCTGAGTGCTGGAACAGAGTAACTGAAGCTGTAACACCCACCTATAAGCATTTCAGTTTAGGATCGTGCTTTGTGAGGCATACCTTCAATTTGGTGGCTCAGGGATTTGCAAACAGTGAGTCATAACTCCCCGGGGTTAGAAATGCAGCTGCTGAGGCATCAGGCATTGAAAAGTGTTGTCCAAGATAAAAGCAAAGCAAACCTCACTGCCCACACACTCTTATCCTTCAAGGCTGAGTATCTTTGTCCCCGTCTTTAAAAACATGCACTCAAAATTATACCAGCTTCTTGTGGTTGCCATTGATACGGGATTTACTTCTCCTTTTAGAGCAGACAAGAGGGGATTGCGAAAATCTGTCACTTGAAAGAGCTGAGGCAGATAGATCTGAAGCTAATATGCAGCACCCTGTGCTTGCAGAGAGGTGACTGGCATTTGAGGAGGGACCTGCAATGTAAGATATGTCCATGTCCTTCCAAGGGAGGGTCCCAGAGGAGCTCCCTGGGCCTCTGCAGACAACCCCTGTCCCATCAAATCCAGGATGGACTTGCAGGTCCTGGAGAGTGTGCTGCACTGCAGCCAGTTTTGTTCCTACCCAGAGTGCTGTCTTTGGGACACCTTTTGGCATTGACTCACTGCTAAGGAAGAACCGACACACAAGTCACCTGTTCCACAAAGTGTCCCACTCACAGTGGTCACATGGCACCAGGCTCCTGTCCCATGACACATTCTGGGTACAACAACAGCATGGCATGGCCACCTTTGCCACAGAACACCTGGATGCAGAGCTCACATGGCTGGTCCGCCCCACCGCACAACACCCCATGCAGAGAGGAGCGGTGGCACCAGCTGTGGGTCCTGCAGTGTCCCAGGCACTGCCAGCCATCAGCCTGTCCTTCCTGTCCCCGTGGCTTCAAAGCCATCCGTATCATGAGCTGAGAGGTCTTGGGCTCACCAGACCTTCACTGTGAAGGCTTCAGTGCTTGGTAAGTAACAGCTTGCAGAGCCTGCTGCTTTGGTAACACACTGCTTTAACAAAACCTTGATCCCTGAAGGAAGGCCAGTTCTGCAAAGGCCTGTGAAGTTCTGTGCTGGCTGTTCACCTCTCTCTGTACCTATTTTTATACCATTCCTATTGTTTAAAAAGCCTTTCAGAAATGTCCGGGTTTAGAGGGACACGGATCTGACAAAGTAACTGACTCACTCTGGCCTCAGGGAAGTTACTTCACTCCATGGATCATCATCTCCATTTGAGTATGAGAACAATCATATGAAATTACCCAGCATACCTCCAATGCGGCTGTAAAAAAATAATTAGCTGGTATTTAGAACCGTCTGTAAAAGTGATAAGGTGTTGGTGTTGGAGAACCTCTGTAGCTGGGGAAGCTGGACAGCTGGGAGACCTGCAAGGGACTCAGGTGATTGTCACTATTTTTGTTACAGCCTTGTGGGATTATGGTTATAAAGAGGATGTGGGTGACTCTGCTCCTGAGCCCAAAGTGTGGGCCATTAAAATTTGTGGGCCATCCTTTTCCCTGTGACACTTGACCTTTCCAGTGGCTTTGGTTTCTACCATTCAAGGCTCCAGGTAACTATGGTGGTGCCAAATGGGTAAGAGCAAAGCAATGTTGTGCCTATCTTACACCATGATCATAGAGTTGTTTCTCCCTGCCTGTCTTGTCCCCTGGCATAGACACTTGTCTAAGGATGTTCCCTGTGCCCAGCATGTTGTCCACAGTCTCTGTAGGAGGGTGACTCAAAGGCAGAGCAGAGGTTTGGACCTTCACATCTCAGGGAGAGAGCTGGCTGCTAAAGGAAGGAGCCAACATTGGCACCTCCCTGTATCAAAGCGATCAAAACTCTGCAGTGAACTTGTGTCTCTTGTGTCTGGTGTGAGGGAACATGGCACAATCAGGCTTTGCAGCACTGCAGGTCGGCCCCCACCCTCTCTGTGGGGCTTAGGCTTCAATGGCTGCATTTAAACCCTGCATCTGTGCATTGTCTTTAAGATGTTCATCCTCCAACAGATGCATTTTATCAGTGAGCACAGATGCTGTTAATTCCTTGCACTGTGTGCAATGTCCACCTCAGACTGGAGATCTGCCGTGAGATAATGTGATTGCAGTTGCTTCCTATAGTTGGTATCTGGTGACCAAGTCTTGTCCAGAGCTAACGTTTTGCTTTCATATGTTGCTGCTTGGAAATATCTGAGGATTGCAAAGGTGAAAGCATTCATAGATTACAAGAGTAATTTTTGTGCTATAGGCAGGGATTAGGGAACTGGGCAGGCAAAAGACTATGGTTGGATTCTTGCTGGTGGGAATGCATACATGGTCATGGTAATAGCAGAATTTGTAATGCCAGCAGAAGCAGGGGGAATCTGCTTTAGACAAGATAAATCATAGGATGACAAAGCTTGGTGAACCAAAGCAAGATCTTGCGTGTTTACTGCATTTTAGTTCCCTTTTATAATTTTAACAAGTTAGATCATTATAATAATTTGAGGAAGTTGGTATGGAAGGCCAAAGGTGATGAGGGAAAGCATTGCACATCCAGCTGAGAGGACAGCTACACACAGGGATCTCTGGACAGTCAGTTTTCTGACTCTGGACTGGTGCCACACCTTTCTGGGCACAGAGACAAAGAAGGGTCCCAGGGTTGTGCCCAGCAATGAGGAGGAGGGACTGCAGGACTCTGAAGAGCTGAAACATGCTGGACAAGTGTCAGGGGAATGATAGCTCCCAAAGCTTTTAATGTCAGAGGTGGCCAGAGGTGAGGTAACTGTGTGTCTATAGAAGAGGGTGAATGCATTAAGCACCATGGGGAATGTCAGATGTTCACAGCTCATGTCAAGGATTTGTAGATGCTACAGCTAAAGTGATGTGATGTGCTGCCCTAGGCCTCTCTGCAGGCCCTTCCAAAATCAGCAACTAGCAGGTGTATTTGTACTGCTGTTCACTGTCATCTCATGGATGAGAAGGGAAAGGGAGGGGCCCCTTTGGTCCAAGGACAAAAGCAAAGAGGTGGTGCAAGACATAATGTTTTATTGCTTCTAATTGGATCAGAAAGATTAGTAAATAGAGATTAGATGACACAAAGGGAAGAAAATCAAAGCAGGAGACCTTCCTACTTCCTGGTTTAGAGGAATGAGTGCGTGAAATAGGCTGAGGTTTCTGCACTGGTAAATGTCTAAAGACCTGTCACTGTAGATTCATTCACCTGTGTGAAGGTCCCTTAAGGATAGAGAATGAATTTCTTCAGAGCAGTGTTAGTGATTGGGAATTACTGGCACAGGGATTCAAATTAATCCATTTTTATGGGTTTTCATTGAGCTTTGATATTTCAAGTAAGTGGTCAGATGAGGAAACAGTTTCCTTCAAAGGATATTGAAACTCAGTGTGCTGGGTGGCACCAAGCTCTGGTGTCCCCCAGGCCACCTGTTTATGCAGGTGGGGAGGTGTGTGTGTCCCTACTCCATGTTTTAACTGGTACCGGGTTCTACTTCAGCATTTTGCATCTAATGGAGCACCTCTAAAAGCACTAACAAACTAGATGTTACAAGTTCCCTTGTCTAGGGTCTGGAACATCTCTCTGATGAGGAGAGACTGGGAGCTGGGCCTGTTTAGTCTGGAGAAAAGAAGACTGAGAAGGGATCTTATTAATGCATATAAATATCTCAAAGTAAGTGCCAATAGGACTCTTTTGGTGGTGCCCAGCAACAGGACGAGTAGCAATGGTCATAAACTGCAACACAAGAAGTTTCACCTCAACGTAAGGAGGTCCCTTCCAACCCTAATGATTCTGTGATTTTCGTTTTAGTGTTGCTATAAGTAGCTTTGGTCCTTTTATCTCTTTCATTAGCTTTAAAAAGACTTCTTTTTCCTTGTTTGCTCTTCTGAACAACCTCTCATGGGCTGCCTAAACCCACAAGAGTCACAAGCTGGATGAATGCATGAGACTATTCAAGAACTTGCTGAATAACAAACTCACTGTCAACACAGACTAGAAAATATGGACTTAACCTTGTACCACCAGGACTGTTGTTATCCCATGGACTAAGGACCTGAGAGTTTACACAGTCCCAATTTTACTTGCCAGCACTATTAATCTGAATAATCCATCTGAATGGGTCTTCAATTGACATCTTTTTACTTTCATCTTCTTTCCTGACAGATGCTGTTGCTACTACCCCACTCCAGACCACAGCTGAGATTAAATATATATATATGTATTCTGAAATATAGCCTCTTTATTTCTGATAGCCCTCACTGAAGACGCGTTTTTCCCACATCCTAATTTAACCACAGAGGACTGCCTGCTATTTCTTCAACGCATTCCAGATAGGACCAAAGAACAGATTCGCGTCCCCATCTTTTATTTCGGAAGGCGTGAAGGTTTCCCCAGCCCTTTCCCACTCCCCTCCGCCCGGGGCGCGGGATTCGCTGCCCTCGTGCGCCCGGAGGCCGCGGGGGAGGCAGGTCCCTCCCCGCCCACCCGCTCTGTACATCGCCACCAACATTTATTTCGGCACAAACATTTATTTCGGCCGGGCCCGCGCCCCTCACAGGGCCCGAGATGGCGGGCGGGCCGCGCGGTCACGTGCGGCGGTGACGGCGCGGCCCCGTGATCGGAAGCCGGCGGGGAGGCGGAAGCGGGCGCGGGGGGCGGCGGGGCCCATTAAAGCGGACGAGGCGGGCGGGGGCAGCGATCGGGCCGGGCCGCGGCGGCAGCACCAGGTGAGCCCGCGGGGGCCGGGCGGGATGGGGGGGTCCTGCGCGGCTACACCGGTGACAGGGGAAGGGGGCAGGGGCGGGTCCGCCCCGGGCGCGGGGCGCCGCTGGCGGCCCCTCCCCGGCCCCGGCGGGGCGGCGGCGCGGTCTCGGCGCTCCCGGCGGGCTCCGCACCGCGGCCCGGCCCGTTTGCCCCCCCAACACCTCGCTCACCGAGCTCCCCCGGGACAATGCAGGAGGGTCTCCCCGGGAAGCGGCCCCTCCCCGCGGGCCTCTCCCGGGGTGCGCGGTTCGCCAGCGCTTTGTGGAGCCTCCTCTGCCTGAGGGGCTGGCGGAGGCCCGAGCGGTGCCTCTCGGGGAGGGAGCGCATTGTCTGAGCCGGGCGGTGCTGCCGTAGCTCCCCGCGGAGCCCGGGGAGGCTTTGGGGGGGCGCTGGGCCGGGGCTGTGAAATGCTGCTCTGGGGGTCGGTGGGTGTCGCTTTTAGGACGAGCCGGCGGCCCCGGGAGCGATTAATGTGACCGAGCAGGCGGCCGAGGGGACTGGCAGTTATTGCGAAAGTGGCTGTTGGTGCGTGTAAAGCCTGAGTCAGTCCGGAGAAGTATTGGAGTGGATGTTGGAAGTGCTTTTGGCTGTGAGTGTATGAGAAGGCAAATTAAGTGGTAGTTGCGTTATTAGTCTCCAGGTATATATAGACAAATAATTATGGATATGCCTAATGGTCTTGCTAAAGACAACAACTACACTGTCTTCTCTGTAAATAGAGGGATTATTTTAGTAGTGGAAAGGTTGTCTTAATCTGAAGAGAGGTAACCTCAGCATCCAAATGAGTATGTCTTGCCTAGTGTCTCCAAACCTTCTGAGTCGAAGCTGTAATTCTCAGTGTTATCTCCCTGAAAACTAAAAATACTTGCTGATAAACAGAACTGTTGTGATCTATGTGTACGAGTTTTTTTATGTAAACTGAGAACACATGACAGAACAAAGTCCTCCCAACTGTAAGCAAGCTGTTCTTTGTTTGACACTTGCCAATATGGAAGCCTTAAAGCTTCCAGCACTTACCACTGTCTGGCCAGCTCTGGCCTATGCCTAACACTTTTATATCCATGTGGGAACTGGGGCTGAGGGAAGTGCAGAGTTCTCTTTTTAGGGGAGTGGTACATAACCAGCTATACCGTGGTGTTTGGCTGGCTGGGACTTGAAGGCTGTGGTGGTACCAGTAGTGTGTGATGGGAGCTGCATCCTGGCTGTGCTTCCAGTAGAGCCAGGCTGCTCGAGTCAACATACCCTGCTCTCTCAGGAGCTGAATTTGAGGTTAAAGTGGGTGGAGTCATTTGAATATTCCATGTTAAATAATCAAGACTCCCTTACTGTACTTACTCAGGAAGAACAAGTATACTTGTCTCTCCCCCTCCCCCTTGTGACTCCCAACAGCTGACTGAACACATGACTGGCCCTCCATGCACTAATGAGTGGACCCACCATGCCTGGCCTGAGTCCTCAGAATTAGAGCAGCTCTAATACTGTTATTTTCAATTACTGCCTTATTTTTTTTCCTTTGTGTTACTGTTAATACTTTACTTCTGGTGTAGAAAAGCTGTGAGATGGGGTTAATCTGACTCCTCAATAAGGAAAACTTCTAAAATCCAGTAGCGGTTTCTTGTTCTCCCAACCTGCATTGAGAAGTACAACTGATAAGATGCACAGCAGTAGCTACATTAAACTTTCTTCTTCCCTGTGATGTCATGCAGTGATCCCTGTCCTCAAATACCCTACTGACAGTTCAGCACAGAATCGTAGAATGGCCTGAGTTAGAAGGGCCTCACAAGGATCATCGAGTCCAGTTCTTAGTCCTGTAGAGGACAAACCCAGCAATCCCACCACATTACTGAGAGCATTGTCCAAACACTTCTTGAGCTCTGGTAGCCTTGGTGCTGGAACTGTTTTCCTGAGGAACCTGTTCCAGTGCCCAGCCACCCTCTGGGTGAAGAACCTTTTTCCAGTATCCAACCTAAACCCCCCGATACAGCTTCATGATCTTCCTTGGGTCCTGTCACTGGTCACCAGGGAGAAGAGATGGAGAACGTGGCACCCCAAGAGTTGTACCTTGAAGGTGCCAAGCTAAGAAAATAAATAACTGTGTAACAGACTACAGCCATCCTGACTGCCCTGCCAAAGCCAGGGAATCAAACTCTGAGTAGCACAGACATGTTACAACACTCATGAATCCTTAACTGAAAGTGGGAAACGTACAAGCTTTGCTCTGAATTGACCTGGGACTATACCACTTTGTTTGGCTTACTCCCTAAAATGAATGCTTGAGGGCAGGAGGGCTACCAGCATCAATTTCTGCAGCACCTTCTTAAAGCTCCTGTTGTAAGACTCTTGTGTTGGAAGGTCGTGTGAATTACCTGTTGGAGCAGATCTCAGGCAAAACTTGTCCTTGAGGAAACATGACAATTACAATCAATCCATCTGTGCAAAACTATAAATAGCTCTGTCTCTAACATGTATGGGATTTTGGTCTGACTTCTGTGTGAAAATGAGACTAGTTTATGCAGAACTTAACATTTGGCTGTAAACAAAATCGCCTGTGCTTGATTAGGGTGTGTTTTTAAATGCTGCATCGTGAGACTGCCTGGCAAACCCTAGCCTGAGAATAAGAGCTATGAAATAGGGCACTTGGATGTTTGCATTCTCTAAAACTGGTGGATGATGTGGGTCACAGGTACTTACTGGTGCCTGTTCCAGTTGTTATAATACAGCAATTTCTTCAGTAACTGGAGTAAATTGAGTGTCTGATAAATAAGTACAGAACCCTCACACTGTACGCTGCCAGTGTTCCCTTATGTCTTCTGGACTTCTCAGCTGTGACCTGACCTGCTGTTAAGCCCTTGTTACTAGGGCCTGATGGACCTACAAATTTCTTGCAGAGCTGCAGAGTGGTTTAAAGCTTGTTGCCTCAATGGAAGGGAGTCCAGAGAAGACTTTACCTAGATGCTGAACTTGGCTGGGCACAAGCTGCCTGGGTGCTGCTTGTCTGACAGCAATCTTGCATCCTTCAAATACTAAAATGCTTCATCCTTACACAGCGTTGTCTTGATAATTGCAGTTTAATTGCCTGATGAGTTAGAGTTGAGTTGGCTTCCCCCTGCAGCTTCCTAAAACGATCTTTTGTAGTTGCTGTATAACAGTCTGCCTTCAGAAGTAGTTGTGAGAGGAGATTGTGAGGATAAAAGGGTCACTCTCTGCAGCAACAATCCAGACATGAGCTGTACATCTCAGAACTGAATTAGGTGTGGATAATTAATCAAATAACAGTATTCATGTACCGTGTTCTGTTCTGCAGTTACTGGCTCTGTTGAAGATCCTATTTCTCTTTAAATGCACCTTGAATAAAACTTGAGAACGAACGCCCAAGGTCAGTGACTGCACATGTGCTGCTCAGAAATAGCAGGTGGTGAAGGGATACCCCTCTGTCACATGGCTGCTCTCTGCCTTCCAGCGTGCTTGTTGCTTTTGCTCTCTGTTCGTGGGGATGCAGCTTCCGAGCCCAGCGTGCTGCTGCATTTTCTGCTCGGTGGAGAACTGCCGTGGTGATGTCATTGTTGCTGTGAGCGCTGTTCCTGCGAGGCTGCTCCTCCTCTCCGGTGCCAGCAACCAGCGCTCTGTCCGCGGGGGAAGCTTTGTCAACACTGCTGTTGCTATCTCATGGTCAGTGACCCTGGGGAGGGAAGCAAGCTCATCAAGGCCACTGGAGTGTGTTGATTTGCAGCTGATCTCAAATAGCCTTGACTTCTGCTGGGAAACCTGTTATTGAGGCCATGGCTGTCTTCACAGGACAGTGAAACTTCAGGAGGGGTGCACTGCCTTTGGGATGAGATTGATGTGTAATCTCGTGGCACAGATTTCTATTTGTATAATTTAAAGGTGCTGATGTAGTGAGTGATTTGCTCGTGCCTCTCCACAGCCACTTAAAATGCCAACTTAAGGTGACTAATTGTGTGTAACTGTACATGCAGGAGTTTCAAGCAGGAATTGCTAAATGAAATGGAGTAGAACCTTTAAATGTCATTTAAAAAACCCTTGTATTTTTCTGTAGTCTGTCCTGTGTCACTTCATACTGTAACTTTGGTCAGTAGACAGACAAGCTGGACCAGTGAAGTGTGGTGGACAAAACTGAGGGCCAGCAGCTGGCACTGCCTTTGAAGCCAACCTGCCTGGAGTACCTGGACCTTGGTTGCTGGGGCTACCAGTTTATCTAACAAGTTTGTGCTGAGCCCTTGATCTCTTTCCAGCTGGAAGCAGAATCCTCTTGAAAGTAACCTGCTTGGTACTTGTCTCCCTCAAGTGGGCTGAGTCACTCAGCTCCCAGACACGGATAATGATATCTGGAGTCCAGACTGGCACAGTGGTGCCAGTGTCTCAGGCATGAGCAGTGAGATGGTTCTAACTGAGGCATGCCTAGGCCTGACCTCTCCCTCTGTCTAACAAGAAGATGCCATTTGCCAGCAGAGCTGTCTTAATCTTGCTATGCAAGTGAGGTTTTTATTGGCCCTTTGTGGACCTTCATCAAGAGAATAGCTGAAGTGATAAAGCTGAAGTGATGCAGGATCTGTGCAAGAGGTATGAGGGTATGAAGTATGAGTGTGAAACTGAGTATCCACAGTAGGAATTCCTTGTTAGGCACTGACTCAGCTGTCGTGGCAAGTTACCTGTTAGACTCTCATCCTGGGACTGACACTGAAATACTTGTCCATCCTGCTCTGCAAACTGTATTAGCATAGTAAGAGGTATTGAGTGTGTGTAGGATCAAGAGTTCTACTTGCTGATCAAGGTGTAGTTCTTAGATTACAACCTGTCCCTAAAGGAAGCTTCCTCTCTAGAAGACTCATTACTGACAACAGGACCTCCTGGAAGGAGGAGTAAGGTTTTTACCATTAGTGTTTATCTTGTACTTCCCTAGATCTGCTTGTCTGGCAGTAGGATCTCCCAGCAGTATTTATCT